CTCCCACAGTCTAATGCCTCTGTTCCTGCAAACTGCGCACTGTCATATGTTACACCCGTGTGCAGTGATTGTCCCACGGTGACATCATTAATCCCTAAAACCGACATGTCGGAGATCAATCCTCAATGACGGGCAGCCCGATAATCTGCTAGCGTGTAACAAGCGGAACACGTTTGTGCTTGATAACATCGGAACCTTGCTTTGAATAACCCCCCCCCAGAACCACCAGCTAATTTGCATGAGGGTCACTGCACACATGCACACACATCCTTAACTTCACGCAGTTTAGCTGTTGGCATGGAATAAACAACTTATATGAATGGTTGCATATTTGTAAGATGTTCTGACAGACATCACACCTTAGCGACGCACCAGGCAGTTCAACCAATTTATGTGTAAAAAATTGAACTACATGGATAATTAGAACTGAAATCAAAACGAACATACAAATAAAATGACGATGCTGTAAGTTCCATTCATAAAGCCGAACACAGCGGTCAGAGCAGCCCAGGACCAAGGCCGCCGGCACGCTGTCAGGACCCAGCCGAGAAGATTGCAGATTCTGGGGATCAGGAGAGCAGCTGCTGTCTTCTGGGAACAGGGGGACAGGCAGGCTTGGGGGGTGAGAAAGCAGCTGGGGCTCCAGTGTACCGTTTCATCTACCTCAGCATGGCGTGGGGACACCTATCCATGGGGGGGTGGGGCACGGGTCAAAGAGAAGGGCACCTGTCCATGGTGAGGGGGAGCACACACACTGGCCTAGGAGGGGGGCATCTGTCCAAGGGGGGGGTAGGTGGATCAAAGAGAAGTGCACCTGTCCATTTGGGGGGTGGGGGGTACAGCTTAGACACTCACACAATTAATCAGCAGGGCTGCTATCCATACCGTAACATGTAACACTGACAGAGTGTTACACCGCTCCTGATGCACTGAAAGACAGTCAGCCCTGCTGACAAGCTGCTGTCCATATCGTAACATGTAACACTGACAGAGTGTTACACCGCTCCTGTGGCACTGAAAGACAGTCAGCCCTTCTGACAAGCTGCTGTCCATACCGTAACATGTAACACTGACAGAGTGTTACACCGCTTCTGTGGCACTGAAAGACAGTCAGCCCTGCTGACAAGCTGCTGTCCATATCATAACATGTAACATTGAGTGTTATGCCACCCGATGATACTCAGTCTCCCATGGATCCTTGGTGCTATATAAGTAGGCCAGAGCTGGTCCCCTGGGGCTCGAGCCGCCCACCCCAGTACTGACCGTGATGCCCAGCTCAGGAAGGGAGGCGTAACAGTGCTTATTTTGGGATACAAAAACTGAACAAGTTACATGCTGCAGATTCCTGCAGCCATAAATGTGAAACACAGAGTGTGAGCTTCCCCATTAAAATAACACTGGGCTCATGATTTCCATTGTTTCCATTGTTCACCTGCTTAGATATGAGTTAAGCACTGGGATTGTGGACAGCAACACTTCCCCTCCTAACCTGCTGGAGATGAGAACCAGCAGCATGGCGGTGAAGGAGCCCCTGCAGACTCGTCACGCCTCCAGCTGTCCACAGGGAGCTAAAACGTGGCGACAGGCTGCTTTCGAAATGAGATTCCTCACCGTCACATCTGCGCCCTCATTGGTCTGCTGACTTCATTCTGAGCACTGGACCTTCTCCCCCCCCAGCGATGACATCATATCCTGCGAACAATGGGGGGTCATGGCTTCATTCCCCACCCCTGGTCCTCCATTAATCTGTTTTTGCTCCTCTGGACACACATAGGTCTGACTCTGCTGTCAGTCACACGCATCCCTCACGTCTGACCATGACACCGAGAGCATCATTCACTCAAACTGCTGTAAGAAAGGGGGCCCCCAGTTAAGGCGCCGATACCGATGTCAAACACGTAGAGAGCAGCAATTTATATGTGCCACGTGTCCAAGGGCAAACTGGTCCTCTGTACATCATACAATAATCAAATGCGTTCTGTAATATCTGCACGTGGTCCGGTCCATTATAAAGGGCTTATCATCAGAAACACAAAATGTTTACCCAAAATGTTCACTGTGAGTCGTGGGGCTGCACCCGGGACGGGATTCCAGTCATTTTCAGCGGGCACACATATTATCTGCAATTTAAACAAATTAATTTGCCCAACCGGTGAACCACCAGGAAAAGCCCACAGAACTGGGAGAGCAGACGTGCTCCACAGACAATGCAGAAGCGGGTTTGGAACCTGCAGCCCGGAGGTGTCAGGCAGTAGAACTGGCTACCAAGCCGCTCTTAGATACGCCCTGAGATGTTTCATTCTTTGATATTACAGGACGTGTCACCCTGCTGATTTGGAGGACGACAGCAGCTCGGAAAGTGCGACGGGTGGCAGAAGCAGTCAGAGTCTGGCTGCCTCTTTTAAACAGAGAACAATGCCACAAGCACATTTTTACACGGCCCTTTCATCTGGCAAATCACATTTTAACAAGTTTTTCACATTCGCTTTTTTTTTCCCCCTGCTGCATTGAAATTCTGACTTTTCCACAAAGTAAGGTTTTCTTTTGTACGACGGCTCCCAAGCCAAGAGCTGATCGGAGATCAGTTTCTGATCTGTGTACCCAGGGTCCTTCTGCAAAGAGCAGAGGCATGCCTGAAAGTCACACGGAGAAATATTTTTAAAGAGTTTGAAACGTTTACTAACTAACTCCTAAATCTGCAATTCATCAGTGAATTTGTGTAAAAACAAAATGAGGCACGATTCAAGAAAAGAGTTCATGTAGAAAAATTCTTCAGAAATATTTAATGTTAAGCTTACAAAGCATGGCCTCCCTCAGCTCAGCTGTAACCAGAGCATGCAGACGCCGTCTGGTAGTGATGACGTAAGGGGGGGGAGGGGGGGGGGGTTCAAGGCCCCATGTCTGCCAGTAAAGATGCCCACTGTGGACAGCTTGAGGGCCACCGTGCTCAAACCGTCAGCTTGCTGCAGGGGGTCGTCTCAGCTTAGTCGGGGTACCGAGCAGCCCAGAGCAAGAGGCAGCCTGGGGTGAATGAAAATGCTGCCATACACGTGCAGCCAGGATTTGGTCATGTCAGGGATTTAAACACATGTCCCGCCGATTCCCATCCCTTTTGACAAAGCGCCTTCCTGACGAAGTATGATGAGGGCGACACTGACATCATCTATTATGACAAGGTGAAGCTGTCACATAGTCAGTGCTTAAAACACCTAAAGCTTTATGCGATAAAGGGAACAAACACGAGTGTAATGGCCGGTAGCAGCCTGCAGGGGGGGGGGGTGGCGGATTAGCATCAGCTCCCTTGCGGAGGAAGGCTGAGCACGGCTGCCTGAGGGGGGCGCTCCGCGTGGAGGGTTGAGGAGCTCTCCTCAGACTGTGCCAGCATTTGGGATCAGTGGAAAATGTCAGCGTGCCCATCGTCCCTCGCGCGGCAGACTGCCGACGACTCCTGCCAAGTCGCGGTAATAACGGGCAGGTGAAGCATGGCGAGTCCCGCAGCAGTGGCAACACCCTCTGGCCCGCCCCCGGCGGCAGCCCCGCGTCACGCCGCCGTCCCCTCCCGCCAGTCTCTGCTCCCGCCAGCCTCTGCTCCCGCCAGCCTCTGCTCCCGCCAGCCTCTGCTCCCGCCAGCCTCTGCTCCCGCCAGCCTCTGCTCCCGCCAGCCTCTGCTCCCGCATCTCTCCATGCCTTTTCTCCATGTGCTGCTTGACGCTCGATCCAGCCACACTAGCAGGTACCTGTCAAACGTCTGCACTCATAACTGATATTGAGGGTTTTATTTTGTAAGATTCATGATTCTCACAAAGCACTGAATATGCCGATATGATGAATGGCCAAATTACCCCCCCCCCAACCCCCAGAGCACTGGAGGGATTCTCCCCCAACCCTGCTCACCCAGCTGCCCCTTCTCCCTATAGGGAACACCCCACGCTGATGCCCCGGTAGGTGTGGAGATCCAGACACACCTCCTGGCTCTCAAAGGACAGTAAGCGGGCGGCAGCCATCTTGACACCATCTAATGCATCATCAATAGATGTGGGACTTCAGATGGCGATGGTTTGGTAGAGTCAAGGACGAGAGGGGGCAGGACAGTGTATTCAAACAACAGCGTCAGCCAATGCATGACACCCCGGTGGACAAAACGCACTCCGTGCCAGCTGGCCTCCATCGAGCATGTCTTTGTGAGCTGTGCTCTGCCCAAGAGGTCAACTGGCCGGACTGAAGGGCCACCAGTTAGAAAAAGAGGATTAGAGCGAGGTTTAGGTCGCTCCACCGGCAAGGGCCAAGGGCGTCCCCACCCAGGGCCGGAGGAGCAAGGGGGCGGGGGGGAGACACCGGCTGCACGACCTTAAGCTGCTCTCCTAAGGAGGACGTGTGCTAAGTAGGCCAGGCCAGAGGGGAAGCTTATGGCCAGAAGGTAAGTCAAGGACGCAGAAAGTGCTGGAAGATCCCACTTCCCCCCGTGAGCCCGCGAAGCCGCAGATGTGTGGGATTGGCCGCGTAGCTGGAGGGATTATGGGAAGGCGGCAGTAACTCCTTAGTAACTCCGGCAGTAACTGTGGAGCAGTAAGCGCAGTGCTATACGAGGGGCAGGTGGCCAGCATGGTGTGCAGATATACTGACGACACTTAGTGAGAAGTTGCAATATGCATCTCACCTTAGCAACCACGAAACCACAACACATGCAGATGCCGGATATCACAGTGCAGGCAAGCCAGCGTGAGAGCAGGGCTCTAGGTGCCATTCTATACCATGAGAGATACACAGGATTGCCTGGGAAAACAATTAAAAAACAAAAGCAAACAATGAAGATGGCACTAGGTAATGGCACACAGTGGGTCAGCTCAACCTGGGCCACAGGCACACGCACAGGGAAACGCACAGGCACACATGCACACAGGCATGCGCACAGGAACAGGGACACACACGTATTCGTATTTTTGTGGGGAATATCTATTTATTTATATAGGAAAAACCTTAATCCCAACAATGAAACCCCTAAACCATAAGTAACCAAACAAAAAACAAGACTTTTGGAATCTTTTGTGTTTTGATTCACAGATTTGATTTCCCCTTGTGATGACTGAAAAATGGTCTCCATAACATCAAAAGAACATGTAATACATACATAACCCATACACACACACACACACGCGTGTACACAAGCACGCTCACAAACACCAACACACACAGACACTCACAGTTATTGTAAATATGGTATGTTTAGCATCCCAAAGGTAACCAAATAAGCAAATCCCCCCCCAAAAGATAAATGCTCACAAACAAAATGCTCAATGCCAGGTCAACTGACGCCACACCAAAGCCAACCGTCGTGGACCTCAGCGGTTCTGCTACTCATGGACCCATTTTCTTTCTTACACGCCTTGGCTGAAGCGGCCCAGTTTCCATACGGGCCTCACAGGGAAGATGACAGCCGCCCACGGTGATCCTGAGGCTCAGACCGCAGGGTGGCCGCCCTCCCCCACGGTGCCACACCAGGGTGCCTGCTCATGCCACGTCGGGCAAAAAATAGCAACTCGGAATGAAGCTTCATCTCTGCCAGTGTGGCACAGAAGCCACAGGATGGAGGTGAGCAGGCAGCCGCACATGATCTTACCAGGGTTACCCTCTGGGGTCACAGGGACCCAGGGCTTCTGCTGAATGCTCTGCCTGCGAAGTCTCTCCTCCTTCAGGAAGAACGTCCTGAGAACGGAGACGGGAAAGTGTTTCATTTAATGAAAAGACATTTTGTAAAACAGCCGGCTTCACTTATGACAGGCCGCATTAATGCCTGATCAAACTCACACCCACACACTACATGCTCCCCCCCCCCTTCCCATCTTGATTTGTTAAAGGGATAAAAAGCAGGCACAGAAAGCAGCCAAATTTGATTTAAAAGTGAAAGACACCCCCTCAGTGCCCGCCCCCGACCCTCCCCTCGAACCAGCCCCCCCATCATTTTCTCATATCCGAAGCTAGGGACAGCTTAGATCCCCCAGGCTGAGTACTTTGGGCTACGTTCCCCATACAAAGGTACAACAGCCGCCCCCTTGTGGGATTTGGACCGTCAGCCTTTGCCCTTCCTCCCACCCATTCTGCTGTGTGCGTAACAAATTAGTAGGGGGGCAGAAAGACTCCCCAGGCACCCGCTCAGCCTGCGGGCAGCGGAGAGCAGACGCACTCATGTGACGACGCGGTTTCACACAGATCGCGCCATCTGAAGCGGCCTGTAATATCGGCTAAGACGTGCTTCACACCAGCTAATGAGGCAGGATGTGCGGGACTCTCCTCCGCAGCTTTAAACCGCCGTGCCGCCGAGCAAATGAGCGGAAAGGGCCGGGAATAGTGAGTCAATAAAAACACGCACAGCGCTGGCTCCATTTCCCTGCAAATTGGTGATAAAAAAGAAGCAATGGTAATTCTGTGTGCTACTTGGACGGGAGTACTCCAGCATCCAATCAGAGCAGGAGGAAAGAGGAAGGACCTGTCAATCAGCTCTTGGCCCCGCCTCCAGCCCTCATCCCACATCATTTACGACTTTAGCTGGATTTAAAGCGATTCCTCAGGTCACAAGGAAGCCAAGATCTGTCATATAGTAAGATCAGTCATGGCAATTTCAAAAAGGGTGGCACAGAGGACAGGCTTCAGGCCCCTATACAGGATAAGCGATCAGATTATAAGTGGGTGGGTGGGTAGGATGGATGGATGAATGGATGGATGGACGAATTTTATTACACTGCAAAAGCAAACAAGGTTAGAAAATGAATTCCAAAATTAACACCTGAAAGTAGACAGTATTATTAGGGAGAGGGTGGCTCTGGCTCCTGTAGCTCAACAAGCAGCATTGTGCTAATAACACAAAGGTTGTGGGTTCAAATCCCAGGAAGCGCACAAATTGTGACCCTTCTACTTCATGTTTCTTTAGGTAAATGCATCAAATAAATGAGCAAATGTGAGATGCCTCACATCTCTGTGTTTGGGGAGTTAGCATGAGTTCCGCGTGTTGGGTGCTCCAGCCTCCTCTTGCTGTCAGGCTAACTGGCCTACATACAATGTGCAGTGTGTGTGCATGTGGCCTACAATGGACTGACATCTCATCCAGGGTGTTCCTGGGATAGGCTCCAGGCTAGTGTTGACCCAGTGGGGAAGGGACAGATGGATAGAAAAAAAAAGAGCCGTCAGTCACAGCTGAGCAGGCGCGCTGAGGGAAAGCGGATACCTTTCTATGGGTTAGCGAGAGCGGAAACAACCAGTCCAAGACAAGCAAAAGATGCTTCCCCCCAACATTCAGCCAAGGGGTCCTGCAGCAGGCCGTCTAAATATCTGCCCATATGATCCAGACGCAGGTGACAGGACAGGAAGACGAGGGCTGATTACAGCCTTTTCAAAAAGAGCTTTAGCGCTAAAGTTTAAAGAGCCCTGCTGATGATCATGTGCGGAAGGCGAGTGTAATATAACCAAAACCATCAGATCCCGCAGATCAGGAACACAAAGCATAACATACTTAAACACTCCTGATTCAGATCTGCCTTTATAAGACACTTCTTCCTCAGAGAAGGTGGAATTTTTAAGGAAATATTTTAAGGGACTATTTGGAAAGCAATACCTTCCAGCGATGTCAGACACTGAGTGGATAATTAACAGATGGACACAGAGCATCATTTTCATAAAAGTGACAGATGTAACACACTATAACATGCACAATAAGAAATGTTTGGTGTTGGGCCTTCTATACATAAGATGCAGGCACTGCGACGAAATGATATCGCTAAACCTTAAACACGCTCTAACAAGCCGACAGCTGATCTTTACTCATTGCAAATAAAACACTGCGTTTTGTAAATGGCAGGTACCAGAACTGAAACAATATTAAGAGAAACAGTGATATGTTGGGGATTGAAGCCTATAGATTCACCTGCAATAAAACGGCACTCTCCTGAGCACCCCCCCACCCCAGTCCACTACAGCAGCATAAATAAACCCTGAATATGCCCTGCCTTCCAATCAGCAGGCAAGCAGCAATGTAATATTCTTAAATGGATATAAATTCAATTACAAAAACGAATGGAGAAATACATATACACACAGCCTCAGCCCTCACAGAGTTCTCTGTTGGAAAGTGTTGGCACAATTTATTAAAAAAAAACAGAGCACACCAAAAATTACACTTTCAGCCTTCCTTTCTTCCAGCTATGACAAACAAATAAATTACACCATAAGAATAATGGCATCACAGAAAAACATACTGACCTCTTCACTGTTTTAATGTCCCTCAAAATCTTATCAAGCAGATGTATTTCAATCCATGCTTTGTCAAGGGCAAGCAACCGAGATCAATTATATTAATTATTCAAAGGGCTTCAAAGCCTTGTTATAAATCTGGCAAAACAAGTGCATTTAGTTAGTTATAATATACAACAGTTTGTTCAGCTGGACATTGTACTCTAAGGGTTTTGGTTAAGCTCGCACATAACAGCACAACAGCAGTCCCTGGGGATTCGAACATATGAGCCCTAGGTTACACACCTATCGCTGCTGCACCTATGCATACAGCGGAGCAGGCGATGCCTGTCAGTACTCGGTATTCGCTAGCCTCCATCAGCAAGAAGCAGCCTTGGTTTGCGAACCACAGCTCCCACACCAAGCACGAGCAAACATGTCACTGGAAAAATGAGGACATCTCAGACGGGGAGTGATAATAAAGTGGGCTCCGGTAATGTCCGATGTCCCGAAGCGGGACGAACGCGGAGCCCCAAGTGTCTGCGGCCAGGCGCCGAACGCCGCCTCTCTCCGCCCCCGCTGAAGAACCGAGTCACGAAACCCAGACATGCAAAGTGCCTTTACAGCCCGTTTCCCTTCTGCTCTTCTTAATGGTTTCTAATTCGCCGTTTAGATGCTTAAGTAAGTGGTCGTAAAGTTTAAGAAATTAGTATCTGTTTCACTGTCGACGCACGGTTAGGTAACGTTTTACTTTATTTATTTAAGGGACATTTTGTCCAAAGGGATCCATGAAGCATTTAAGCCAAAAAGTCTAATAACAGGTGCATTACAACTGTTAATTAAGGATGCCCTGTGGGAAAACCAGACACGATACGCAATAAATACGCATAAAGAGCCGTTAAATGAACTATCGAAATTCCCGATGTTCACGAAACAACGAAAAACATTTAATATAAGGAGAAAGGACGTTTAACAATCTCAACAGATTTAACTAAAACGGTGACAAATGGCGGATATCATGAAACGCGACTTTAAGAGCATATTTAAGCCAGCAGAATCCAGCGCCCATAATGAAAATATATACGACTTAAAATTAATATTACCATTACCTTTTCTTTTTCCAAAAGAACGCTATACAGACGTTACCGATAATCTTTTTGAGTAACTATAAGCTATTATATACACATAAGCAGCCTGCACATTAATTAGTAACTACTTTACAGTAAAGGCTTCATTTTCGTAGGATGAAGGTGATAAAACTGTCCCAGTGTCTGATCGTTTTTGAAGGCATCGAGCCTAAGATAAAAGTCTTCTTCATTGGGTGTTCAGAAGCTTATACGACTGAAAAGTTTGGCATACGGAACACTATTTCAAAAAGGTTCGGGTCTTTAAAGCGGAGATACAGTTAAAGGCTGATGCGAGCGCTGCAGCTGACGGAGTTGAGGGCGTTTTCCCGCAGTTGTCAGCCCGTCCTGCGCCCTTTACCGAATGGGTGCTCCAACACGCGTCCTTACACTAGTCCCACCAAACAAGTTTCATCAGCACCGAACTACGCAATCGTGCGAAAAGTAGGCAGGCAGCCACTGAGAGCCATCAAACTCATCCCGGACAATGTAAAGTTAATAGAGACACAAACACGGGAGCAAAAGCCCCGCCGCGAACCTTTAAAGTGAGTGAAACGAGCGCTGTCCGGTTCGACTGAGTCCGTCCCACATCGGGCCAGTTTCTCCATGGATGACATTACATTACATTACATTTACGGTAAAAGCGGAGGATCGTGCAGCAGGGACGCATCTCTCTCGCGGTAACATGCATCACACTACTGTAACATCGCATCGGCTGCTTACATCGCTGCTCCCCCGCTTCCCTCCAGCTCATTCTCTCCCTCCCTCATTCCCTCCCTCCCCCTGACACAGACATGTCCCTATGTGTGATTTCCTTGCTATTTTCCGCCGCTTACCCGTTCTCCCCCGTCCCTGGCTGGATGGGGTCAGCGCGTATGGGTGACTCCAGCGGGCACAGCGCAGCGGACGAGCGTTCGCAGCCGCTCGGCGTCTATTTTTAGGGAACTGACAAAGTGAGGAAGAAGCAGCCGCTTGTCACTGCGAGGCTCCTCCCTTCATCTGACGGGCTGCGGGCGAGGCGGGCAGCCCTCAGCGCTCGCCGCCGGCCCTTTAAAAAGCCTAGCACTTTGGCTGGAGCAGTGCGCTTTAGTCTCGCTATCGGGATAACTGCTCTTTACAATTATTTGTATGTGTATATGGTTTTTGTTTTATGTGGTTAATAACAGTACGCGATTTGTTATTTAAAGTACAAGCGCTGAAGACTAGGCAGAAAACGGGACTCGGCCGTGAGTTTGCGCAGGACGCGGCTAGCTGAGGCATGACGTCATCGGCCTTAGGTGAGCAGGAGCGCTCTGAGCGTTGTCACGGTGTATCACTGTGTCAGAGGAGGATCCTGGCCAGGGCAAGATGGGCAGTAGCCCAGGGCGGCGTTTTCTGAGGGGGCGCTGCCATACTAAACACTAATACCCGATAACTATTATCGACGATGAAGCTTGCCTGGGGTCACATGGCCTTCGACCGCTACTGCATTAAGTGTGTCTTTACTGTGTTCATAGTATGTGTTCACATGTAAGTGTGTGCTTACTGTGTATTAACTGTTAAGTGTGTGTTTACTGTGTGTACACTAAGTGTGTGTTTACTATGTCTTCACTGTGTTTGTGTTTTTGTTGTGTGTGTTCATATGTAAGTTTGTGTTCATTATGTGTGCATTCAGTGTGTTTATGTGTGTTCACTGTTTGTACAGTGAATACGTGTTCGTGTATGTGTATTTATTGTGTGTACATTCAGTGTTTGTTCACTGTGTGCGCTATGTGTGTGGAGATATTGGTCACAGGTGAAGAGACAAGCCACACTGCTGTGGTCGGGTAGGGCAGTGACCCTCACTGATCATTTTCCGCTGTTCCAGGGCTGATTAGCAGAATAATTTCATCCATTCAGACATGTGATCTGCAGCACAAGCACATAACTCACTAGCTAGTGTATTGCATAGTAAATATTCTCTTTCTGTTTGACTTAATAGACAATGAACCATGAATTTTAAATACCTTTCAAATAGCATGTTCCTGGATTGTCGTAGGGTTAGGAAACACCCTGTCCTACAGAGGGTCACCTGTGGGAAAACACTGAGAACATTAATAACGCAAGCTAATAGCAGTGACCTTTGGTACCTGCGGCTGAACATTTGTCAGTGAAATTACATTTCTCAGCTTCTGGGCAAGGGTTGTAACTCCACACTCAACTAAACACAAAACACCTGCTCGCAGCCTTATGGCTGAACACAAGTATCTGCTGAAAGGATGGCTTTGAGATACCGAAATGGACTGAGGTTCTGAAGTGTTTCCAGTAGACAGTTCTCATTACAGTTGTCAGTTTGGGCTCCGGCACAATAAAATAACTTTCCAGCATGATTTTTTTCAGCCGTGACTACGCAGTTTTGCTCTGCTGATCAGGTTTGCTCATTTTTTAAAAAAATGTTTTTAGGCCTTTTTGTGAAAAGTAGGCTGAGCAGTCATAAGTATAAATACAGACAAAGAGGCATAATAGAGAGAATACACAAACACCTTGATGTGGGAAGATGGCTGCCTTTTCATTTTTGCCAAACTACGGGTAATAAAATGTGTCCGTTGATAGATCACCTCGTTAAGCTTTATAGTCGTCTTTAAATGGGTTACATTACTGCCACCTGCTGTACTGGAGTGTCATGAAAAAAGAAAGCTGAACACAACGGCTTTTAAATTGTATTGAACCTAAGAGCCCCACTAAGGGGCTTTGGGTTCTTGATCTTGTAGCTGGGAGTCACAGCTGGTGGTTTGGGAGGGTGGGGTTCAAGCCTCACTATGGTTTCTTCCTGGCAAATCACTACATTATCAAGTAGAAGTGCATCCCTCCCAAACTGGCATGAATGGAAAATTACCTATATCGAAGATATTTGTTTTATTACTTTTTATGGGTTTTTATGTATTCCTCACAATTTTTGTTGACTGTTTATTGATGTTAAAAAAAAATTCTGATATGGGAACCTTGTATTTCCCAGCTGTTTCAGCCACATGATTCCCCCCTCTGTCCCATGATACAGCATTTCTTCTCTGCTGGGGGGAAATTTTCCATGGGAAAACTGTAACAATTTCCCCATGGGGGAGAATCCAGAATTCTTAAACTTTCCAGTTGACATGATGCCAGATTATATTGTCGCTGCCTCTGCAGCAGACAGCGACAGGCATTTTCTGTCAGTATCTGTGATGTGCCTGTAGGTAAAGCATTAATGGGGATTCCTCTAACCTCCACGTCCAAAGGACTCAGTCAAAAACAATCTCAGCCCTGGTTTATTTCAATGGGAACCAGGTCAGATCGATGGATTTACCACACAAACAGAAAGTAGAAGATGCACAAATGTGGGCTCAGGCTTCATTCTCCCTAAAAGTCCCCAGATCCCCCCGGCTTGTGTCTTTGCCCCACCCCAGGCTTCCTGACATTCTTTGCCATGGTTATAAATGATTCTGCCTCTTTTCAGAAGCCCGCCAATGACGCCATGCTGCCTGACACACTCAGTTTGCCTGCACTCCCCCACCTGCCAACACAAAAAAACAACTCAAATATGAGTTTTGTTTGCTTACTTGATGCCTTTTTATCCATCAGTACAGTTTTTCATTTCACTTGAGCAGATTAAGTACCTTTAGGAAGGGTGCCAGACCAGTATCAATCACATACTGGTGGCAAAATTGTGGAAACACTTCCAAATTTTAGAGATTGCAGAACTTTAATAGTTGCTCGAGTTACTTATTTAATCATCCAATTTATATTTGTAATATTCTTTGATTGTTTATAAACATTACCGCCAGTATACGTGTAGTCATTTTTAAAGTGTAATGCCAGAAATGCTAGGTGTTGCCACAATTTTGGCCACTAGTGTAGGTAATTTGAACAAGCCTATATCCTTAATAACTACGCTTTATTAGTCTTCATTTCATCCCAGGCTCAGAATTAGCCATTAAACTAGAGTTGTCAGCTATCTGGTTAGTAGTTGAGTCAATTATATTTTGCATCATTGTTATCTAGCCGATTCCCATCCATTTACTGTATGTGATTTATCTCCTTTTTCTGGGTCCTGGGCAGTGCAGACATCTTCCTGTCAGAAGGCACCCAGCGCTGAGCCCTGCCAGGACATTCCAAGCCATTCCACGCCATCTGGGCTCTAAGTAGTGAGTGTGAACTGAGGATTTTTGGCTCCTCCATCGCTGTTTGCTGCTCCAGCCCTATTGTGGATCCTCGGCAGCATTTCCACTTATTTTTCAGACTCAGTTGGTTTTCACACAATTAATTCACACCTAAATAGTTTTTCCACATAGATTTTAGCACTGGAACAGCAGACATTTCCATGAAGGGGCGGGGGTAGTTTTTCACCCTCTGCTGTCATGTGCTTTTATCATTGATTGGTGATGTTTCTCTCTGCTCCAACCTGACACTGACCTACTTATAAAAGCCACCTTTTCCATCCTTACTCTTTCGTTACCTACGGCCGTCCTCCTCATGCTATGGTGTCTTGTCAGGGCAGGATTGTCAGTCACCCATTGCAAACAGGTCTAAACAGAAGTGCCAGACGAAATCTACCACCAGCTTGTTGGCCAGCAGTGATACAGAAGAGCAGAGGTGTTAGTGGAGGAGGATCACAGTGGTGACGACGGCAATGACACTATTTCAAACTGTGCGGAAGAAGGCAACATGAACCACTTCTGTACCTTACCCAGAAAATGACAGACAAACCTGAATGAACAATGATATAGTGCTGAAATAGAAGGCACTACTGAGGAGACCCGACGATCCTTTGGGGTCCAGCTGGTGTTTATGATGTAGGTGAATCAAAGCCTTTGGATGTCCAATTTACAATATTGCCACGCTGGAAAAGAAAGTCTGAAGCTTCAAAGATAGGATCATCATTGAGCAGGAAAAAAATGGAACCAAAGTAAGGAGTCTGCATTAGGGAAAGACAAAAGTGAACTACTTATATAACTCTGGAAAAAAATTAGGGACCACGGCAAAATTTTCAGTTTCACTCATTTCTCAATTTATGGATATGAACCTGTGTAAAATATACATTTTTTTGTGCAAACTCCAGCCTGGCTCTTCCCTGCTTCTCATTAATGTAGGGCTTCTTCCTTGCTTTATGGGACTTCTAGAAGCCTGTAATGATTTTTCCTAGCAGTGCACTTCACAACACTTTATGTTTCCCATTTTTTCTAAAGGTTACTTTAGGTCATCCTCCAGATAAGTTAACGGTCATCTCTGGCATTAGAAAGTCGCTTCTGCCCTTTACTTGGCTGATTTCTGGTCATTCCCAGTGTCTCCTGCTTCACCTTCACCTGTGTACTGCTGTCTTAGACATTTTGAACCTGGAAGCAACCTGCTGCTCAGCGTAGCTTCTGCCAGCAGAACCACGATTAAACCAGGATTTAAAAAAAATGTATAGAGTGGTCTCTTAATTGTTAGTCAACTTCTTTGTCATTATTGAATTTAAATGGACTGGCCTGGGACACTTTCAGTTAGGTGAACACATCTTTAGCTACTGAGAAATTGGACAACATAGAAAAAATGGTGTGGCTTTCATAGTCAGGAAGGGCACTGAAAAGACTGCAACTGGATACAATGCTGCGGCTGAGGGATATTTCCCCTCATCCCTTCAATATGACAGTTATACAGGCTCATGCCCCGATAAGTGCTGCTGACAAAGAGGAAAATTCTAAAGTTCTATGAGCAGATTCAGACTGAAATACGCAGGAAATGCAGCGAGATATGTACCTGGCGACGGGAGACCGGGATGCCATAGTAAGAAGTGAGAAGGTGAGAAACTCAGTTGGCTGGTGTAGCCTTGGACGAGCTAAGCTGGAACCAAGCAGCACTGACTAATCAGACCCTGCGAATCCAACAACCTCTTCATTGCCAATATATTCTTCAAGCAACCTAGACATCAGCAGATAGTTCACAGAAATCAAACAGAACACGTTTTCGATACCAAACTATGCAAGAGCCCAGTTCAAACAGCAAAGAATTCCGTTTGCCGAAGATTATGAACAGATAATGAACTATGTATGTGTGACCTCCAAGTGAAGCTGAAAAGGAACATGGTCATCTGACTTACCCTGAGAGTATGCCCTCTGACTTCAGAGAAAACACCAGAAACTGGTTAGAAATGTTGGGCCTACACAAGAGAGACAGAATTCAAAGAAAATCTGAGAAAAAAAACTGGTCAAAATGCAGGAGCCAACAAAATCAAAGTGGATGACAGAAAGAACAGTGGAACCTGCAAATAAGTCAAAATCAGGAAAAGATTAAAGTTCTAAATCACAAATTCCCAAAAGCATCTAGGAGAGACAAATATTACGGAATCTACAAAGTCATTGTAGCAGGAAACACATCTCAGTGTTTTTCAGGAGATTAAAATGAAGGTCCAGGCCCCGAGTAGCACACAGAAAGACATCAACAGGCAAATAACTGGACTTCTTATATTCAGCACGGGGTCTTCTGGTGTTTCTCCATCAAAAGCTCCTGCCCAGCCTAGAGCAGCTGGCTTTCGATGGCTGACTTCACATCCTGCCCTCTCTGCCATCCCTCGACCTTTCGGGGGCGACAGTGGCGTGACGGATGGGATCCCAGATTCATGCAGACTTCCCCGGTGTGTATTTTGTGACAGAGCTTCATGGGGGGCCACAGCTGTCACACAAACAACCCCCCCAACTCCCATTACCATTAGTATTAGCAGGAGTATGAGATAAAGGAAAGGCTTCCAGCCATTTCTGGGGACGTGACTGATGCCCATCTGCAAAGCAACCTGATGGCCCTTTTGTTGATAAAAGATTATTGATAAATCGTCCTCAGACCTGAGATCAGTATGTGTCACCTGCAAGGAAAAGGCTGTTTAGCTTCTTTGGAACTGAAAACAAAAAAGGTTCAAAATTTAGTACAGTGTTCCTCAGTTCTGGTCCTAGAGGGCCAGAATCTCAGAGTTTGCAGATTTCCCTGCTCAAACACACCTGATTCAGCTAATTACCAGGTTTCATAGGTATGTCTGACCAGAGAAATCTGCAAATTGTGTTGCAAAATGGCCCTCCAGCACTAGAATTGGGGAAACCTGATTTTGTGTAATTTGGAATGTTACCCAGTGATTACTGATGAAAAGGGTTAATGTCTGAAGGTGCTGTCCTTGGATAAGCAGCTCTTTACCCCCAACCTGAATTCTCCCCTGCTGCTCAATCTAAGGCTAATACTAACCTTGCGCTAATGTTAACAGCTACTTATTGGTTAGTTTAAGCTGCAAAGAGCACTGAGCACCTCTGAGATGTCTACTGTAGTATCTGAACACCTCTGGGATGTTTGCTGGGGTGTTGTGATTTTCTTTAATCATCACTTTTTAATAGGAAAATGGAAAACAAACCAGGACTACTGAAAATGACTTACTGTGATGATGCTGAGAGGTGGGAGAGTGTCAGGGCTGAGGTCCTAAATTCTTTCCTCAGGCCTTTTCTCTCCATTAACTGATGAGAAGAAAACTCTGTGACAAAGTGATCAGACACTGTAAGGCACCGAGGGGCCATGATACGGCTTTAGGGGCGTGAGGACAAACGCCCCGGTGTGGTGTGATGATGTCATCAGTTCTGTGAGGAAATGACTGGTTCTTACTGAAATAAAAATAATGACACTTTATTGATCCCAGTGAGGAAATTCTCTTCTCACCTACCCCATCTTGTTCTCCGTGACACACAAACACATATAGGTGAGAGCAAGCCTGGCAGCAAAGGGCAGCCATCTGCATCAGCGCCCGTGGAGCTGGGGGGTTAAGGGCCTTTGCTCAAGGGCCCACGAAGGTGAATATTCTGCCAAAGCTGGGCTCGAACCGGCAACCTTCCAATCACAGGCACAGAGACCCTGTTACTGGCTGGCTGTGTTTGCAAAAGGTAAACATTAGGTGGGACACAGCTGGCTATGGACCCTTGGAATGTGTAGTGCATCTTTAACAAAGTCTCCGGCACGTGCCTAGTTAAAGAAGCCAGACTCTAGTACATCTCATGTTTTATATGAGTCATAAGAACATAAGAAATTTACAAACCAGAGGAGGCCATTCGGCCCATCAAGCTCATTTGGGGAGAACTTAACTAATAGCTCAGAGTTGTTAAAATCTTATCTAGCTCTGATTTAAAGGAACCCAGGGTTTTAGCTTCCGCTACACTAGCAGGAAGACTATTCCATACTCTAACTACATGCTGTGTAAAGAAGTGTTTTCTTAAATTCAGTTTAAAATGTTCTCCCGCTAATTTCCACCTATGGCCACGAGTTCTAGTATTTAAACTAATATTAAAGTAGCCATTTGGCTGAACAGCATCCAGACCCGTTAGAATCTTATATACCTGGATATAAGTCCCACACTACAGGGCTGAAGTCCTCAGCTGCCTTTTCTTTGAGGTCTGGGCAAGACCCCCCTCCCTCCAGCACGCGCTTCCCCAAGGCATAAACGAGTGAGATAATCGCGGCTGACGCTCTCCTGCTGAATCAGTGCGTATTGGCGCCGTTTTCCCCGTAATGAGTGGGCTCCTCTCTGTCCTGTGAAGGATTAGCCGGCCCACTTAAGTTTAACAGTTGGGGATTTGTCCCATCTGAATAAAAAGGTACCATTCTATGAGATGTCATTCCTCTTATCACAGGATTACCGTACGCTCTCCCCTGCCACGTCCCCGAGGACACGCTTTCTTCTTGTCTGAGAGATGCAACACTTGTTCCCTATTTTAACGCTGTGACAGCCCTGCCCAGAGAAGAGACTTAACTATCCATTTCTCCATTCGTCAGCAAAATGATTTAATTCCGTGGCTGACAAGGTCATCTCGGGACCGTCGATCACAGGGGGAGAATGAGGTGTGATGTGACGCGCTGCATCGCCCCCTTTCCTGACACCTTACACCTTCATCCCGTTAAAACACACACACGGCTCTCACACTCCCAGGTTGATATCTTAACTTTTTCACCTGTTTCTTTCACAACAAACAGCGAGGGCATGCGAGCAGCATCTGTGTTCCAGGCTCAGGTAATACATCCGTACATCAGGTAAGCAGAGTGCAGTGATTTGTTTGGGCTGATTTATGTGGCGAGGGCTTCTCAGCTTGGCAGGAGACGCCCGTGCTGGTGTAAGGAGCAGGCAGCCTGGCAGCGAGGGCTGAATTTGTACTGCACGGGACTGCAGACTCGCCTTCCTCGACTGCCCTCTAAAACACAGGCATCAGCTATTAATCTCCCTCATCCACAGACGCCACGTTCAGTCCGGTTTCCCACGTTTTCAGCCTGACTCCACGTGCAGAGGGGAACCTTGGCATGGAGTCGGACTCCCGGACTTATTGCAGTACCTCTTGTGGCAGCACTTGCCCTTGCATGGATGCCCCAGATGAAGCAACCTTCTGAAATTCGGCACGTTTATGTTAAATCTTGTGTCGCCGCGTCATTGAGTTAGAGGATCTTTCTGCTACTCACTTCCTGAATACAGCCAGGAAAGCGTGCAGAAGGGGAAAAAAAAAAAAGTCTTAAAACTTTAACCTTCGATGATGCTGTTTATATTTCCGACCTGTAATATTTCTTCACAGCGATCTGCATTTGAGACACGACTTAATTGGCATGGCTGTAGTTATCGTCTTTAGATAGTGACAGCCATTAGAAAATGACAGTGTTCCATAAACCGTAAATCTAACCCCACACCTGTCTGATCTGAGAGCAGCGGCAGCGTCACGGCTGGCAAGTCAGTCGATGGAGTTCAGGCCCCTCGCTCACCGAGAACAACGGACTCTGGCTTCGGCAGGAGACCCTGGGGAAAGCATTCCAGAAACCTGGAATTTCCAGTCCTGTGTCGGGGCCGCTGGCTCCCTGCTTGACTGTTTAAAGCGGATTTATCATGGGTTACCTCCACAGACTTCCCTGCCCTGCCTGGCCCAGATGGCCGGACAGAGACATCTCAGGCCGCGGCGAGATTCTTCAGCACTGGGAGTGCTCCTGGTTTCACTGTCGAACAAAGTCTCATCAGGGTCTCCAACACCCAGGGGCCACCCCCCCCCCCAGTCTGCTTTATCTTCTCCCTGCTACCTCCGGAATCATTTCCCTTCTCTGTCCCACAGTCTCGGAGACTCACATGCTTACCGTGTTCCCTGTCAGCCCGTTTCTCCCTCCTCTCATGAACTGTATTAAAAATGTGCCTGAACGCCTTCCTTGACTCCTGGTGGCCGCTGCCGGATTTGGATTCCCAGTCTCTCCCTCACCTCCATCTCTAAGTGCTGATCTATTTAAAAAGCACCTCACAGAAATCTTTCGAACGGTTTTCTATTACACAAGCAAAAAAGCTAAATATGCACCAGCTAATATTTAACTCGTGTTTAGGATACGGATGCAGAAATCCTGTTATCCTAAACAGTTAAAATCCCCAGTATTATACAAAACAGCTTCTCACCATTTCAGGAACAGAATTGGAGAGAGACTGACAGCATGGAGATTGGGGATCAGGAAACGGCACACAGCAGCCTACAGCTAATCCTAAAAGCACTTAATCACAAATCATTTCTGACATGCTCCAGAGGGGGATACTTACCGAAAACACAAATTGATTTTTATTTGAAAATTTGAAGCTGAAATGAATCTCCCTACCTCTGTCCTCCCGGCCGAATGTTTGCGAGTGCTGTTACAAACGCTACGTAGCGCACTGCCAGATTTCGAACAGCACGCAGCTGGTTTAGATTTTCCCCCTTTTTATTCAAACCCTGCCTGTCTCCCAGTACTCCTTGGCTCCGCAGCCGGGCTCATTACAGCGGGCAACGCCGGATGAACCCAGCGGGTATTTCGTCAAGCCTGACAGTCTAGGTGTGGACGCCGACCTCACTTTCTCAAACCTGTTCTTCAGATCGTGGATGATAAAGGTCTTCCGAGGTAAATGCGATGATAAAATCACCTCAGATCTCTGCGCAGATGGAATCAGCTTAGTCTGGTAAAAACAAATCTAGTTATAAATTCTATATTCTAATTTCTAGATTTATGTGTAAATAAAGATCAAGCAGATGTCACGCCAAAAGACTCCCCGCACCATGACCAAGCAGGCAGGATCATACCCCCCATTGGGGACATCCGTGCTAATGGTGAATTCTCTTTGTTCCCTGTGGTCCTAACCTCGGCCCCCCATTGTGTCTGAGGGCGGACTGGGGTCCAGCGCCCCTCCAGTCTGACGGACCCCCCTCACATCCCCACTGACAGAACAATGGACAGCACAGATGCGGGCACACCTAGCCATTGTGAGGAACAAAAGCATGACACTGTGACGGCCAGCCAGGCGAGACGGGGATGGTGGGGGAGCAGGATCCCGTCAGGGCAGTCAGTCCGCAAAGGATTCTGGGAAATACGAAGGATAGGGCTCGTTAATTAAGCGGCAGCATGATCGTACCTGGAGCCAACCTGAGCAAACAGGGATGCCTATGCTGGAGGGGTAGCCAAATTCTCTCACTTACAGTTCGCAGCGTTTGCTTACATGTAGGAATTAACCCCGATTTACCTGGGTGAGTCCCTAAAAGACCCCAAGTGGAGAGGGGGAGGGGTAGGGGCAGCACCACGTCTATGGTACCAGGCCAGGCCAGCGTGCCACACAGCTGGGCGCCAAGCCCACAGCCTGCGAGTCCAACCAGGAACTCTTGCTCTTATTTTCCTTGGGCTCCTGTCCACATCCACAGGAGATCCCCCCCCACATCCAGGTGCCTCTGAAGACATTTCATTTCCATGAAGCATGTCCTGTGCATGGAGGGGAAGGACAGTGGCAAGTGCTCAACAAAGTACATGGGGGTGGATTTAAACCCACAGAAACACGGCTCACAGCAAAGCCCCCAACGGAAGCTGTGAACATGTAACTTTCGCAGTAAACAGAGAACGCTCTAGAGACTCAGCGGTAATGAACGCGTAAGAATCCAGAGCAGTGGGTAGACACAGGCAGCACGGTACCGTAATGATGCTCCCAGCGGATTAACGACGTTACAGAGGGATCAGACCTCAAAGCATCGGGACGCCTTGCATCCGCAGCGAGCCACACGCTGCCCACTGAAGGGCGCCCCACCTCCATGCGGCTCCAAGCCCGGCGACGGGATAATGGATGTGTCAGGGTCATGTTCCCCTGGAGACGGGATTAATGGGCAGCCTACTGTGGCTCCTACGTCGCACAGGCAGAGGACGGGCAAAGAGCGAGAGCGAGACCCAAGCCTTGTGGCAGGGGAGGGTGCAGCCCAGCCCTCCTGGTTATTATCTGACAGGCCTGCATCTCTGTGGAAACACATCTAACTCTGCCAGCCATGACTGCACCAGAGACACAGACAGGCGATGCACCTCGTATCCACAGCCAGGGATACAGATCCCTGGATAAATACACCTGTACCAGGTGTCTGACCTCATCACCAGCTGCTACCCATGAGAGGAACATTTTCAGCACAATAAATATTTTTAATGTTTTGCTTCAGATTGAGGTTTCAAGTATAGAACTGTTAATTATAAAACACTCCGTATTCACATTCTCCAGCATCATAAGCTGAAAGCTGAAAATACTCAGGTTAAACACAGTCCAAGCAGGCAAACTGCATGGCCACCAAAGTGTCACAGCTGCAGGTCTTAATCGCTCTGTTACGATGTGCGTTCTGGTCCCTCCTCCCTGTCTACCCCTCGCCTTGCTGGAAGTGGCGCTGCTCCATGTGCCGAGCCAGGGCACATGAAGCCCAGTGCACCTTGGATAGTCCATGACAGGCAGAGATCCCCCCCCCCCGCCAGACAGCCTGCCAAACCAATCCTGGAACGAGGAACTTCGCTTTTTCAGCTTCCAAGAGAAACAACAGAGAAATAACGGTAGGCTGAGTAAGTATGTTGCCTTTTTTAGGCATGGAGAGGCCCTGATAAATCGATATTTAGGCTTTCGCATTCCATCGAAGCTTCCTTGTCAAGGACAACAGGCGCGAGATGCTGTGAGCCGCGTTTGAGCTCAGTATAAATACGCACCGCGGCCAAAAGCGCCAGAGCCGTAAATGTGGGAAATTATTCACAAATCCGAAGCAGGAGCGAGAGTGGAGTGCAGCTCACTCTGGGAATGCAGGGGGGCATGGGTCCAGGAATCAGGCATTTCATTCCCCAGCCCCATGCAGAAAGTCACACACCCATTTCAGCATAGCAAGTCATTTATTTCTGAAACACACGTCAGGAGGGCAGTGGTAAAGCTTCACAACATCGCTAACGTCAGAGAGCCCCGGCACCGTCCGCTAATCCCGGACAGTACAGATTACGGGCAGCTTCACTGGACTCTGGAGCATCATGAAGTTTGTCGTATTCACTCTGAGCACTGAGTCCAACTCGTCTACTGCTCACACAGACTTTACAGCCAGTTCACTTTACAGCCAGACAGCATTGACATGAGGGTCCAGCGACCTTGCTGCCTTTGGTGAGGAACACACGCGTGGTGGGTGTCTAAGCGAAAGGGTTTGCCTGTCAGTCCCATTTCATAAACACCCAGGCTGAGGACTCCATCGCTCTCCTTGCTGTTTACTATGCGTCTGGATGCTAACGAGCAGATTTCACTCCAAATGTCAGTTTCATCTCACATATCCAGGCTGAAATCGTACCAGGGCGACGTATGGCCTACAAAGTGTTTCTGACTTTATTCTTCACATTTACAGTGTTGTTAATTACTGAGGAGAATTGGTACACATACACGAATCACACCTGGAACGAGTCCCGGTCTGCTATAGCCACGGGAAAGGTCACTATGAAAGCGGCAGGGCCGAGATGGATCAGCTGTCCACGTAAACACGACACAAACACCACGGAGAATGGCGGGTTGGAAGTCAGGCCCCCGTGTGGAAAAGCACGCCATTTATAACAAAAAATCTGCACATTTTCATTTTCTCAAACACACCACATGCACAGCTGCAAAGCAAAACAGCTTCACCTCTAACGGGCCACGCTGTTAAAAATACACATTCACCATCAACAGATCTGCAAAAATCAGATAAGGAAACAGAATCAGGGCTGTAAACAACCACCCCGGTTTCCAAGTCTGAGAACAGTCTCCTGAACGGTGCATTCAGGTGATTTAACGGCAGCTGGACGACACTCTGCCAGCTTCAGGGACAGAACAGGTCTTCGGTAGAAATACAAACCTGTCATTGAGTCTCCCTAGTTTTCTGTGTTCCATATTGCAGATGAGGGGTCCCCTATATTAGTTTCTTGCCTTGTACAAAAATATGACAAATATCCATCTGAGTGGGATGCAGACAAAAATAATTGAAAGCCATATTTTAGTGTAAATTAAGTGTGTGCTACTCGCAGATGAAAAATAGACCTCTTTTCAGGCTGCTGACAGTATTTACAAACTCTTCTCATTCCTCATCAGTCAGCAGCCAAAGTAGTAGCTTTGTGTTAAAAAAAAAAAACTATATTAAAACAGGTCACTTAATGACGGCGTGAAATCCCAGCCAAGTGGCTCTGTTCTGTGTTTAGACGTGCCCGTCCAGTTAGAGTCCTGGGCTGGGAGGCCACTGGGATTCTGGCTTGGCCTCAGTTGGGAGGTCCTCGGCACGCCGACGTGAGCTCCAGTCCTCTTCTTCGTTTTATCATGGAGGGGTGGGGGGGGGGGGGGGCAGCACCAGGCCTAGGGATCAGCTCTGAAGGTCGAAGGTCCGCATACACTGACCGGAGCAGCAGTAAGCCACGAAGCTCACCGTTGTCCTGGCAACAGAGACACACAGCGGGGGGTGGTACTTAGGTGGGTGTGTGGGGAGGGAAGAGGAGAGCAGATGAGGTGGCAGCAGGTGGAGAAGGGGGTGTGATGCCCCCACTCTCTAGGGGGGCTGGAAGGCAAACAGCACCAGCTGTGGCCCTAGCTCTCTGCCTCACGGTGCCGTCTGATCACTGGCTCTCTCTCTAGGAAGACAGGACCACCAGGGGGCACCGCAGCACAGGGGGAGGCGGCTCTTAGGGGACCCTATGCTAACGGCTAGCGTGGCGGCACGGCGTCACCCGGAGAACGGCTCAGACTCCCACAGGGTGACGGGCCTGTTTATTGGAGAGGAGATCTGTGCACCTGGGAGGCATACAGGGGCACAGACGTCCCTCGCAATAAACCCGTCCGGAGGCTCCAGCTGGCAGGCACAGGACCACGTGAAACCCACAGCAGCAGCAGCATGAGACGAGGCGGCAGGTGGACGTGTGGTGCTGCGGGGCTGTCAGAGGGAATCAGCGCGGTGCTGGCGGCCTGCCTCACGGCACCAGCACCCCGCCGCTGACGGGGTGGGGGGGCACCTGGTACCACTTTGGCCTCGGCGCCATGCTGCAAATCACATAGCGGTGACAGAGTGCTCTTCGGATACAGATTTCACGGTAATGAACAAAAGTGCGTGAAATAATCTCTGCCCATCATGAATTAAAAGCCACAAATGAGAGTCGCTGTGTGAACTCTGACCCAACTCCCTAATGCCGCAGGTGACAGGAAAAGTCAAAGCCACGCATGCGGAAACACATGGGCCTGGTTATTCCAGAGTACCGGCGCTGACCTGCCTTTGGCTGCCTTACTCTCTCACGGAGGACGTCCTTTCCGGTGGAAAGCTACCAGGTGCAGAGCTCCTTTCCTCCTCTAATGTATACCTCCACTAATCCTGCATGTCAGCTGAGCAAGTTGAGATTGGGGCCCCCTGCTGGTCACTGTGATGATCACACGTTAATTTCATTAGCGTATTTCCCCTGCCCTGCAGTCAGGCGGTAGCTTCCAGTATGATGGCACACAATAGTGGGTGGGGCAGGGGGGGTTGTTTACTGACTGCTACCAGACTCCGGGTGGTATTACCTGCCATGCACCCCCGCCAGTGCCGTCTCCCTGAGGGGGAACAGCTTGGGATAGACTATGGTAAACATGGCCTGACTGCAGCGGTGGCAATGCCCCAGGGGGCAGTAGAGAAGCTCCAGCAGACTCCGTGGCAGCGCCATGGGAGGCAGGAAGTCCGGCTCTGGGGAAAAACAGGGGAAGTGTTAGGGTGGGTAGGGCCCCAGTCGCACCACATGATGCCAACCAGCAGCAGAGGGGCACATCAGGGGCACGGGGCCTTACGAGGGGCACTTCAGGGGCACGGTGCCTTACGAGGGGCACACGCGCTCCTCCCTACTGCACCTGCAATTCAAAAGGATGCACAGATGACTGGCTCCTCCTGAGGCCTGCCGTACCGCTGACGTCACCATTGTAAGAGCGCCGCCGTTGCTACACAGCGTGTTACATCAGCTTTCATGTTTTCATAGCTCCAGGGACCCGGCAAGACATCAGCAGAACATTCTGCTGGAAAAGACAGCTTTCTGCTCCGCCCTAATCATACGCAACCTAATAGCTCATTTTAGCACAAATCTGCCTGAACTCCGCATGTTTAACTGGCACCTGGGGACAGAAAAAGGCTTAGTGTGTTTTTTTTTCGGGGGTGATGTTTTGAGACCCTGCAAATCCCTGAAACGGCAGTTTAACTCCAGGCTGGCCCCGTTTAGCCCTGTCACGTAAAGATGGCCAGCGCCTGCTCTGTGCTAATCAAGCACGTTCCGGTCTGGGCCCCTGCCTGGCACGTCGCGGCCCGCTGGGCCGGCCAAACCAAACCATCAAATTAGAGGGACGCCTGCCCCGCCGCACCTAATAGGGCCCTCCCCCACTTCCCTGGGAGCAGGGGCTCCTCTCTAATGACTTCCATGTGGCTTGACCCACTCAAGAAGACCAGTATGGCCACATCTTGGCAGGCTGCAGGAATTCTGCCACCTGTGAAATCCATCTCAGCCGTGCATGATTTTGTTCAGAAAAGGCCTGACTTAGGTCCTCCCGCCTCAGCGGTGATTTGTGACTGGTAATAAATGGATGAACATTTACAAACATTATGGCCTGGATTATGTCCGGGCCACTGAGCCGCCAGGCAGTCCGGGGGTGGGGGCCTTACACCTCACTCACAAATGACTGGGCTCTGCCAAGGAAATCTGCCGAGAGACGGCGGCAAATGGGCCCCGTTCCCCCGACGCGTGACGGACCGGTTTCCTGCGTCCTCCTTGCTCCCAGGGAACACAGCATTGCATTTACGGCTTGCTAAGGCGCTTCAAGTCACATGCTAAATGGGCGTCATTAACCCCGTAATTATGCGAGCCCCTGCACGATCTCCTAGCTGGGCCTCGCCACCACGTCTCTCCCTGAGCCTGTCTCGGCCTGTCCCCATCACCTCTAATGGTTTCATTGCCTGTTTATGGGACGTGTGTATGTTCAAGGGAACAGCAGAGAGGCTCTACAGGACACACAGTTAAATTAAAGGCGCGGTGAGGAAACGCTGAATGACCAAACACCTCTCTGATACATGACATGGTGCTCAGTGAGCGGACAGGAAGGGCCAGCAGATAAGGGCTGATTCAGGACAGCAAACCTGAAGGTTCAGTCCAGGAACAGGCTTGTGTTTGGACCCTTAGGAAGTACCTCTTAAAAGAAACCCAGGAAAATACCCTGCTGTAAACATGAATGACATTCAGTCACTGTAAGATACTGCCTGTTTCCTCTGGACTCTTAGACAACACACTGAAGGTTCACAGTGAGTTTACCATGACCTTAAGTGACCTAATGGCAGAATCATGACCGCAACCAGAACATCACCTCCTCCCATCAAACAGCAGCAGTAACAGGGCAGCAGACCATGTGAAAGATGCCCCGGCATGTTATAGTGTCTCGACCCGTTACCGATTCAGGCTATGCCAGCCATCACCCCCTCCTTCACCCACAATGCTGCCAAGTCTGACCTTCCCAAAAGCCCCGATCTCCCCCCTCCCAGTCTGCCCCCTCCCAGTCTGCCCCCTTCCGCTCCCAGTTGTTTCTTGTATCACGTTTAAGATCTCGGTGCTGGCGGGGGGGTGGGGGGCTCCCAGGGGAACGGCATCGAGCCCAACAGGCCCTCAAGGTCACGAGGATCCTCCACACTGGGCCCTCTGACAGTTTCGGCTTTTCTGTGGTGGCACCAGCGTTTCCCGGATTACCGGATGCCTCCTTCTCTTCCAGACGGACTCGGATCTCACCTGAGCAGAGCTCGCTGCTGTGACGGGGCTGACACCATGCTGACTCACAGAGGGCTTGGGTGGGAGGTAACACAGTTCTAACAAATACTGGTGTAATTCTACCGCAATGATGTGTAACGTGAAGATTCACCCCATAATTAGTACACACAACACACCACATCAACCTGCGTGCAATCCTAATGCAGCCCTGCATGTTTATACAATAACATGTGCGGTCCTAATGCAGCCCTGCATGTTTATACAATAACATGTGCGGTCCTAATGCAGCCCTGCATGTTTATACAATAACATGTGCGGTCCTAATGCAGCCCTGTATGTTTATACAATAACATGTGCGGT